TCCTCCTCCTAGTCATTCTGTTGATGGGTGGTTGAGGGAATGTATAGAGTCCAAATTATTGACCAGACCCCAAGCAAGATGCACCTGTTTTCTAGGGACCTTAGGGTTGCTGGCCTCTTGTTTTCCCAGCCTGTCTTCTGGGGGAGGGGCCTGCCGCGCTGTGACTCAGGCAACCCTGTTTGGGCGGAGTTGCCCTGCCCCCCTGTGGCGGGGGATGGGCTCAGTGGGAATCAGTTTTGGGGGCTTTTGTTCTCTGGTGGCTTTCCATGTCTCTTCCATGAGTCAGAGCAGAAGAGACTGTTTCCAACCCTCTGCCTCAGGGCAGAGAGATCACAGTCTGCTCTTCAGTGAGCTCTCCAGGCCACACCGTCTCTGTTTCTGTCCATGTTGCTATAAACTGCAGCAGCCTGGATTGTGCGCCCCTCCGCAGCACCCCCAGTCCTGCCTCCAGGTCTGAAAACGTCTCTGCCCTTTGTGCTTCTAAAACCGCCAGCTGCCCCCAGATCGCACGCACGACCCCGCCGCTCTGGGTTTCCGCCCTGGGGGCTGCCCTAAAGTCCTTTCCATGCCACTACCGGTCTGCGAGTCTGTGCCCCATCCCCAGCACGCGAGGCTGTCGCTCACCGGCGGTGTAGGATCCCCACGGCCAGGCACCCTCCCACTGCCATTTATCCTCCGATATTTGCCCGGGGAATAACGGCTCCCCACTTCGCACCTCGAAACCAACTGCCTGCGATATTCTGTTTGTAGAGATCCAGATCTTCTTACATCTCAGGCTGGTTTCGTGGGTGCTCAGAGTGGTCTGGTAGATAACCAGCTCAATTCCGGGGACCAGTTGAAATAGGATCCCCTACTCCTCTGCCATCTTTCCTCTCCCTGAGAAATCCCATTTTCAATGCGTTTGTCATCTGCTTCTAAAATAAGTTTCCATCGTATTTCAAGATTTCTCTTTCCTGGGAATCTGAGCTTCTCCCAGTTTATATTCACCCTACTCTGGGTCCCTCTGGAACTGGAATGGAAACTCCATGGGTCATGTCATAAGATTTGTCTCTTTTGTTCCCTATATTTCCAGAGCCTAGAACAGTGCCTTGTTGTACATGCCTGATAAACATTCGATGAATGTTCTGAGTGTACAACTTTCAAGTGGACAGCACTTTAATGAATAGAAAAAAACACCATGAAAGAGAAAGCTTAAAAATGAAAGTGTCATTTTATCAGAAAAGAGTGACACTACATTGGGCACCAAAAATGCTTGGAATTTGCCTTTGAGTTGAAATGTGGCTGAAATTCATTATAAGCTGACTTTAATTAAGTGCCCTTCAACTCCAAGGTCAATGGTGGGAAAGATGAGCTGCTTCAGTATTTACTCACGAAACCCTCTCCTCTTCAGCTCAGGCCTGTATTGTCACAAGGCAGGGGGGTTGATGAGGGAACACCCTAGTGGGAAAATTGTTAACTAAGTTAATTTATTTTAAAAATTCAGAATTCACACAAATGGGGACTCAGGGCATAGATCTATGAGTGATGTTTAATACTCGAGTGATGGTGGGAAAATGACATTTCTGAGCTAAACAGAGATGCTTCTTTAATCCTCTACAAACTGAGTAGGAACATGTGAGACATTGTTGCCTTTATGTAAGACAAAGCCTCATGGGAGGCCACAATCTCTCTTCCACACTACTTCAAAATAACTACTTAACTAATTAAGAAAGACAATCAGAATGAGGTTTCCAAATGCAGCATTGATAAAAGAAAGGATGTCAACATTTTGCCTATGGATTTGCTTTATTTGACCAGTTCCATCTGAGACAACAAACAGTGCCCATTTATGGAGAAGCCACTCTGTATAGAGAACTTTGAGTCTGAAAAAAATTAGAATATTTAGTCCCTAAAGTTACATTACTTAGAAACAAGTTCCTTGACCTGATGCTACATTGAATGAGTAAAAGATTACTTCCTGTTTTTCTTGATAACATTAGTGGAGCGTTTATTTTCTCAGAAAAACAGCTATGAGCAAAGGCAGGAATTCCCTCCGAGAACTGAAAATTAGTGAAGATAGTGGGAGGGATGGGGTGGTTGGGTCATGGACCTGGGGAGGGTATGTGCTACGGTGAGTGCTGTGAATTGTGTCAGACTGATGAATCACAGACCTGTATCCCTGAAACAAATAATACATTATATGTTAATAAAAAAATTAAAAAATAAAAAAAAAAAATAAAAAGTAAAAACAGAAAAAAAAAGAAAAGAAAATTAGTGAGGATAAATAAATACCAAGTCAGGGACCGATTTACAAAATCAAGTTCGTGACACACCCTTGTCCTTTCACCTGATAAGGATTTATGAGACACATATTCACATAGAGTACTATGTTGTTTCTTCAAAATGGTTGATTGTATAAAAATCTACTTTATTAAGAGACCATCTGAAAATACACCAAGTAATGCTCTGGAGATAAAGTTGGAAACCAGCCCATCTTTCATTTTTTCCAGGAATTTGAGGATCCACTTTACCTGAGAATGTTCTTGTTCTCCCCCCCCATGGCAGGGTGTCTTTAGGATTGTGTATGACAAGAAGGAGGGGTCCAATGTGGAGTGCTCTTCCACTCCACTCTTTGCACTGGGCAGGCTGGGTGGTAAGGTGGAAGGAGAATTTATCAAATAGTGAACCACTCATTACCTTGCCAACAAAGGTATGGCAAGTATAGGGTAGTATCTATAGATAGTATCTAGATTCAGATGGCATGGAATGGTAGGAGAGAAATATGTTACTGGTTGGAGAGAGAAACTAATGTGGAAGAGGGCAGTATCAATTATGTCTCCTCAGTTTTTCCAGTAGCCAATGCCATTGGCTGGTGATGCAGAAATGGGGAAGCTGTTCTAATTACCATGTGCATGGGCCACGTGGTAGAGGATTTTTCATTTCAGCCTGCTAGATTTTGACAATGAGAATTCCATATTTAAAAAAAAAAAATCCAGATCATAACTCCAAGGCAATGTAACCTGAGAGAGACACTATTGAGAAGTTTCCAGGAGTAGGCTCAGATATCACTACCTGAGGATTCTCTCATGGGCCAGCCACTCTGAGTCCTGACTTGCTCATTAAAAAGGGATGATAATAGCCATTGGCTCTTCTCACAGGGTTATTGAGAAAGAAGTATAACGCATATGTGGAAGTACTTTGTGACAATAAGACATTACAAAATGCACTGTGGCAGTGATTGGCAGGATCCTAAAACAGCTTCCAAGATTTCTGCCCTAATCCTCATTACCAAGAATAAGATGATAAAATTATGACCTTATTATGTACATGGCAAAAGGGATTCTTCAGTTAATAATGTGTTAATCAAAAAGGAGACTATCGGGTGAACCTAATCTCATTGCATAAATCCTTTAAAAACCATTTTCTCTGGTTGGTGGCAGAAGTAAGAGAGATTGACTGCATGAGAACATAGAGGGGTCCATATGACAAGGAATGTTGGAACTTTCTAGAAGGGGCCCAGCAAAGAAATGGGTCATCAGTCCTACAACCACAAGGCACTGAATTAGGACAACAACCTGAACAAACTTGGAAGCTTGTTTTTCCCCACAGTTTTCAGACAAGTGCCCAGCCGGGCTGCCATCTTGATTTCTGCCTTGCAAGTCCCTAACCAGAGAGCAAAGTAGAGTTCACCCAGCTTCTGGCAACAGAGCTAGGTGGTGTTGTTTTAACCTAGCAAATTTGTGGCAGTTTGTTACACAGCAACAGGAATCTCATACAGCAACATTATTATTAATTTGAACATTTTTAGAAGGAGCATGCTTTTAAATTATGGGAAATTGAGGTTGAAGACGTTGGCAGATGGATTTGTGCTTTAATCTTAATAATTAACATTCTATAACAGTGGACAGTTTTAGGGATATGGAGTTAGAGTGATAGTCACTATTAATTTAGAGGTTGGCAAGGGATCTATCCCCTGACTTTATATTTCTGGTAGGTGGAGAGTGATAAGGAGGAAGCCGTCTAATGCAAACCTGTTCAGTAGAGGGTTACACATGCATCTCGTTGACACCATGTCACAGTCTGTTTTAAATATCAGTATGGCCTCCCTTTAGTTTCTTGTATCTATCAAGCCTTTCCCTTCTACCTTTTATTTAAATGAGTGGTATGAGGAGGTTGGTTCCAGAGCAAGGAAACATCAAAACAAAAACAAAGAAACAAAACACTAGACTCTGAGAAAGTTCCCATCTCCGCACTTCACTTTCTCATTGTCACCAATGAGCTGAGACCAACTGAGGGTCCAAGAAACAGTTACCATGATTATGTTGATGCAGGTGGAAGGTTTCAAAGTTCTAGTCAAAATTTTAAGGTAAAAAGAACAAATAGTTCACATTTAAATGAGTTGACTGGGAATTTACCGAGTTTCCAGCAGTAATAAAAGCACAATTTATTCACACCCAGAAACAGGACGGGGTACCTTTTCAATTCTGTTTTCCTGAGATTTCTTAAAGTAGATGGTGGGGATCCCAAGTTCAGAGGCAGCTATCCACTGCAGAGTGGCTCGAAGTTCAGCGTCAGGACACTCTGGCTCCAGGTCAAAGTTGATCACTAGCAGACTCCCCTGGGGGCTGGCTGCTCCCATTGGCACTACAGAGATACCTGAACACAGACCACAAGCCCAGGCTTACTACGCGTTCCAAGGGGAATCACAAGCAAATTGGATGTCAAAATTATGGGAATGTGGCTTACCCTCTACGTTTTCTGACTGTCCTTTAAGAATCTCCTTTTCTTCTACTAATTCACTTTGGGAGAAAACAACAGTATATGGTTGGTAATGTTTAGACATTAGCTGTAAATAGACGATGAGGCAATGGATCTTATTGATCTAAAAGCTTCTGAAGTTCAATCTAGATTTATCATTTTCATAGAGGGAAGTAACACTGGAGAAATAGCAAGGTGGCTATTACGTAGGATTATTGGGTCTGCCATAAATAGTCCTGGCCCTTAAATAGGCCAGATAAACTACATAGTTTTAGTTGGAATAATAGGTGTGGGAGACTAAGAAATTCATCTTTTTCTTCTCCTCAACTTCTCTTCATCACTGGTTTGAACAATCAAGGAAATATCTTGCAGGCAACTAGGTCTGATTTGGGGACTTATCCTTCTTCTGTATTTGACTTGTCATTTAAAAGACCATATATTTCCATCCTAACGCAGCGATTTTCCCCCCTATACTATGATAGCAACAAATTTACATTTTAGTCTAGGAAAATATTTTTCTAATGTTTGTGGTTCTTTGATCTGAAATAAGGGTAAAAAACAACCAATGAACAGCAGAACTTAAATTGTACAATAAAAGATCTCAATTAAAATTGAAATTTTTCTTTTTCTATCAGGAGGATGGAGTAGGCTGGAGGAGATAAAAAACTAGAGACATAACTGAATTATTTCATTAGTTAAAGCCATGTTTAATGTTTGAGGTGTTTTCATACAGTAACTACTTGTTAGGGAGTCTTAATGTAATGGCAGGACTCAGTAAATGCTTCCAAAATGAGAGCATATGTCCCCACAGCTGAAAGGAGGTGACCATCTTGGGAAGCCTGTGATTGTCCTATATTTTTGTATGGGCTAGAAATTCAGAATACAGGATCTCTTAAAATGTGTATTTTTATGAGAGTATTCTCCCTTATATTTTCTCTTACTGCTAAGATTTACTGGCTATAAATTTCACTGTATTCCTCTTAATGTTGAGAGAGAGAGAGTATAGTTGTTCTGCCATGCATATGGAATTATTTCTAGAAGAACAACCAATTTCCCAAGGGTCTAGAGCCTCTGCTAGGTCTCTGCAAGAGATATAAGTGAAATGAAAGATGGTAGGGACAGTTTCTGCTATTGTGGAGCTGCAGGATGCTGATAGGAGGTGCTCATTTTAGTTTTCCCTGAATGCATATGTGTGTGTGGGGTCCTAGGCTCTAACCCTGGAGAAAATGGAAAAAGGTAGCTAAACAAATGTTTCCTGAAGGAGAAAAATAAATTTACCCCAAGGTAATTTTTTGTTTGTATTTTGGTTCTACTTTTAAAAAACAAAACAAAACAAAACAAACCCAAGACCACGTGTATGTTCATCTCTACTTGTGAATAGTGGCGGTAAGGAACAACAAAGGATTGATTCCTTCAGTCACTAAGTAACACGCCCGCAGGCAGGATACCTGATTACATAGTGAAACAAAAATGACTTAGCTATAGAGAGTAACTGAGGAAGTAGATAAGGGAGCAGCATTAGTCTTATATTTCATTTTTATCTTTCTGAGATTTCAGAAAACTCCAAACTGTAGTAAGCTAAGTCATAGTGGTCAAAGATAGATTTCAATACATTTACTTTTCCAGAATAATCACAAATTCTGGATATAGCCCTGACCTCATGTTGTCCTCCTTTTCCACACTGTATTCTGTGCTACACATGTTGTGCTCCTCTAAGTGCTATTTCTCCTTGGTCTTTGGAAGGTCTCGAGGTCTTGGGAAGCAGGGTCACTGTGTGGCAATGACATATCTGCATTGTGGCACCGTTTGGTATTAGACACATTTAGTAGTGATTATCCCAGGTGTCTACAAGTAAAGGAAAAATCATTCACATTATATTCTATTGAACAATAGTCTTTGTTGGTTGGCATGGTATGATTTAAAAGGATTTTTGCTCTTCTGTGTCCAATTAAGTAAAATGCATGCTATTTCTGATTATATGGATAAACCTTTTCCAGGATGATTTTATCAGAGGGGGCAGATTTGAAATCCAGAAAACAGTGGTGCTAATGTAGGACTATTCTCAGCCCCAGTTCTTGCTCCAGTGACATGGAACCACGGTAGTCTAGACATGATGATTCAGCGGTTGGGCACAGTCTGAATGATCAAAATGGATTGCCAGATGGAATTAGAGTAGTGGTCTCACAATCACTGCATCTCAGTGGCTACTTACTTAATCATGGGAGAAGTTGGTATGCCTTCCTGATAAATGTCCAGGTCCATAGTGCCAAGACTGCTAGTGGCACTACTGTTGCCATTGCTGACAAAGCAAAAGTTTACATATTAATGCCTGTCTCCACCACCTGGCCACATGACCAACACTGACGTTCCATCTTTCTTCCTAAGAGGTCCTTCTTTGGGTCCCCAGAAGAATATTGTTGGGGGCCTCCTAAATTAATATTTATTTCTGGACAAATTAGGGGAAGACACAACAAAAGACACTTTTGGCTCCAGCCAATCATCATCATCATCATCATCATCATCATCATCATCATCACTGTTTTTGGATTTCTGCACTGGTGTTATAGCTAGTGGGCCACACCTAGTGGGTGACTATCAGCATGGCTTTTGTATTCCTCATTCTAGTTACAGTGAGGATGTTTATCTGTCAGCAAGAGATCCTTTGGTATACCCACGGAGACTGAGATACTTCTGAGAATGCTGGCTGGGGGAGATATCAGAAGGCTCATTTGCCGGCTTCTTGACTTCTGACAGAAACCAGTAAACACATGTTCTCCTTTTGCCATTCAAGGGATTTTTCTGAGGGACATTCCACAGAATATGCACCTGGCTGATTATTTTCCTGTGGGACTGCAGAATTTCCAGATATGAAGCTGGGCAATGCCAAAGTTTTATTAGCTTCTTTATTGTAAAATCTTTGAGAAGCAGCACCTGATACCTTGTGTATCATGGAGAAGGAGGGCTGCTGAATCATTTACATAGGTTACATGAACAACATATGGTCTAGTTACTAGCTTGGAACTTAGTTGCTGAAACATAGTAGACTTGAGCCAATTTTTAGGCTCTTTCGGAACTTGCAGAATGGAATGCATCCCATTTCAGCAAACCGATTGCGTTTCCTCATACTCCTACTATTTTCCAGGGACATCTCTTCCATGTCAGGTTTCCAAAGGATGAGTGCTCGTGTGTCCTGTAACGAACGGGACAGTCTTCCCTGGGGAGTACCATGAGTAACAAACTGTACTCCTTCAGTTTCAAATTCCTGCTTTGGGTTTCATGTGGGGCATTGAATATATTCACTGATTGAAATCTGATGACTCAAACATCACACTGAAGGCAATTAACATATAAACTGCTGCTAGGTCTAGAGATTTATATTCTCTCTTTTTCTAATCTCCATATTGTAATAATTCCCACGGGTTTGGGGGGATTTGAGACCAAGTGTTTAACACTGAAATTTTCCTAAGTCTAAACAGACTGAACTGCCAGAAATAAGACTGCTAAGGAGCCGTGACCCCCAGATACATCTGAATCCCATTTTCCCACTGATCTTTCTGGAAAGTCTGCAGATTTTGTCCAGTATCATATCAAATAAGACTTGGGGCAGAAATGTGGAGATTCTTTTCATTTCCACCTCACAGAGGGATAGTGTTTGGTTTATGTCTCTTGATGGGCTTGGATCCTTCCAAATCTGATCTTTCACTAACTCCTCTCTTGCTTTCTCTGAGCAACAATACACAGGGCAGGGGAGAGAAAGGGGAGAAACAGTTAGGCCAAACAACACAACACAATGTGGAAACACTTGCCTCATGTAAACCCAGCCTGGGTTGCATCTGAAATACAAATGAACCAGAGAGAAAGTATCAAACACACCAGGTGTGACAGCAGCTCTTATTTAAAAATTCCCAGTTGTTACTGAATGCACCAGCTGGGGCTTACAGAGAAAGGAATACAACTGACTCTTAACCTTGGCCAAGGTAATTAAAGGCACAACTGGATATTAAGAAACCTCTCAGCACAAAGCATGACAGGCAGGCACCTTGACCTAGCAGCAGCTTTCCTTTTTGCTCTATTAGGGACCCTTTTTAGAGAACCATTTAGAAAGTATTTTTAGAATCTGTGTTGAGACCTGTTTCCCTGGGAAGTCAAGTAAAGAGCAGGTACCTCAGGGATCGCTCACTGAGCTGCAGAAAGCTACTCGTGTCATCCGGGTTGTCCTCCTCATTGGCAAGCTGGGACCAGCTGTCTGTGCTCTCCCCGCTGCTGCCGGAAAGGTTGGGGAACTCATCGGGGGCTCTGCCTTCTGCCGAGACTTCAGCCCCTGCTACATCTCTGGCATCAAGACTGTCACTGTAGATGGGCAAGATATCATTACCAAGAGCGGAGACACAAGGCAGAACTTTTCATGGGGATCTGGCTGGCTTGGGCATCAGTCTCTGCCGCAGTGGGCAGGATATACTTGGAGATGGGTGGATTTTTTTCTTTCAGGCTATTCTTTCTCCTGGTGACCTAGGTCCCATTTTGCCTTTTCAAGATTGCTGTCCATCAGTTTCCCCATCTCTTCATTTTATGTCTTTCTACTGACTCCCTCCATTCACTTCAAAAACACAGGGAAGCACCCTGGGCTGCATATGTAAGCGTACATGTGGGGCAGTAGTGTTTCTAATGAAGAGACTCAGAGCCTCCTCCCCAGAGATTATGGGTCATTCCTTCTGCAGGGAGACCAAGAAACCTGCATTTTGAACAACCACTCCAGGTAATTTTAATGCAAGTGGCACGTGGACCATGCTGGGAAAAAAACGCCCGCCCGGTTCTGTAGGTTTACCTAGTTGTATTGCCTGCAAATGGCTCTGGACACATTTTGCATTTGTAGCTACCCAGTTACACCATCCTCTCTCTCTGAAACCTCTGATTTATATCAGCACCACCTTTCGGGATGAGTGCTTTTTCAGGTCAAGTTGCTCTCCAAAGCATTTAACTCTGGATCCGACAGGATTTTCTCCTTGCAGCCTTTGTTTTGCTGGCCTCCCAGGACTTTCTGCCTCTCTGGTCACACCTTGCTGAGAGCCTGGTTCCCCGTGTTGCCTCTCAGGGCCGTGGTCGCCAGCTCTGATGGGTTCACTGCCCTCCGTTCCAGTCTGTCCCTAACAATTTCATCTACTCTCCTGCCTATGAAAATGGCTTCTAAATCTGAACTCAGCCTGGGCCCCTCTTCCTGCTTCTGGGACTCTCTTTTCAGCAGGTATTCTGAACATAGTCAATCTGTCTCATCAACATTTTAAAATCAACACATCTTAAACGAATTCTGATTGCCCTCCTATCCTCTTCTTGTGTTTTTTATTTCCATTGCCCTTTCTGTCTCTCTGCTCATGAAATTATCTTAATTTAGGTCCTTCTAAATTGCTTGAATTTAGATTTGGAAGGAACCTCATAGATTTCCTGTAGATTATGATGCAGAAGCTTGGTGAATTAAATGATTTGTCCAAGATTGCAATGAGTTGGTACCAGACTTTAGACCTCAAGTTTTGAGACTCATGGGCATTGCTCCATTACTCTTGGCTGGACTATATTGTATTGGCCTCCTAATAGTTAAGCCCCAACTATTTCTCCTCCTTCAACCACATGATCCAGAAATTCCATTTTTAGGAATTTATCTCCCAAAACCAAAAACACTAATTTGAAAGGACATATGCATGCCTATGTTTACTGCAGCACTATTTACAATAGTCAAGACACGGAAACAACCTAAATGTCCATCAATAGATGAATGGATAAAGAATATATAAAAAATATATACAATGGAATATTAGTGATTAAAAAGAACACAATCTTGCCCTTTGGACAACATGATGGAACTAGGCGGTATTATGTTAAGTGAAATAAGTCAAACAGAGAAAGACAAATACCATATGATTTTACTTTTATGTGGAATGTAAAAGCAGAACAAATGCTGGAGAATCATTGTGAGGTTTGCAACACAGAAAGAAAACCTCAAAATTATGAAGCTTGGAGCTCATATAGGAGTTGCTGCTGACACATTTGCCTCTCTTCTTCACCAGGGGGAGAGAGAAAGGAAAGAGAAAGAGAGAGATAGACTGACAGAAAGGGGAGGGGGGAGAGAAAGGGAGGGAGAGAAAGAGAGAGAGAGAGATCACTAATAAATCCAAATGTTCTCTGCAGAGAGGAGGAAACGGTCTCTACTTCACCACCCTGGATGGTAAACAAATAGCTCCAGAAATGTAAATTTCTGTATCTCTCTAAAAGTCTCTATCTTTAGGGTTAGTATTCGATCATCCTTTGATCCAGGTGTCAATACTCTTTGTTCAGAAAGCCAAATGTACAGAAATATGAACATATTCATGCAACCTTTCTCCTGACACTACTGACAGTCATCAAAAATTAATAGTATAGGAGAGAAGGACATTGATAACTGCAAGCAAAAAGCAAGAGTGTATTTCTCAGGTGACAACAACAAAAAAATGCAATAACCTGGTGTAGTGGATACAGAATGCTTTTCTGGGCCATTGTACACTGACTGCAGAGAATTTGTCTGCTGCCAGTGTGCACTGGGAATTACCAGCAGGCAGAGAACTGCCTGGCCAAGGTTGTACACTCTCTCAGTGAGCATCCCAACAACCAGCTGATACGAAGACACAAAAGGCCAGTTCTTGTCTCACTTGGCACCAAACCTGACAGACCATTACCTCTTCAGGGGTTCCTATAGGATGTGCTGAAGCCCCAGTTGCAAACATATTTGGGGGCACCTACTCTCCATATAATCTTGCCTTTCCTACCTCCTTACAGATGTATGCACACATATCTCTGGAGAGCACTTCCTCTTACCAGATTATTGTCCTGAAAATCTCCCTCTTAAAGTCTGTTCCCAGGGGATGCAACCCAAGACACTCAGTGTCCTTCATTCTAAAAATAGTATATTGGCTGCAGAAAAGTCTATGTAATTCGCTTCAATCTTAGGATTAGTACCATTATCTTTTCTCCAAAAATGGTTATACTTGAAAAATTTTTAAATGAGTTCTAATATAGAGAGTAGAGTTTCAAATGTGTAAATTTTGGAGTTTGATGAAAAATTTCCTTTTTGATAGATGAACTGGTTTTCTAGAAAATTTCATGAAAGCTTTGGATACTTGCTTCTAAGACTCCTTCCCACAGCATTCTGGATAGATACAGTATTAAGGTGTGGCTGTTTCTAGCATGCTGTGCTACTAACACTTGATGAAAAAAACGTCCTTAATAAGCTTGATTTTCCTTTCTAAAATGTTGAGATTTTTCCAAATTGAGCAGGGAGAATGTGAGAGAATGGCTGCCACCAAAAAGACATTGGGTGAATTTAGTTAAATTCAAATGAAAGAAAAGTTTATTGAAGATAAATGGAAACAATACAAATACTCCCCAAAAGGGGGTAAATAAGCCAAGTACTGAGCACAAAGGAGAGGCTTCTAAAACCATCTGTTTTCTTAGGTAAAAAGAAATTTCCTGGACTAATTCTTTACTAAATTAGGACCTTACATTACTAGAAAAGCTCATTCGAGGATATTTCTCACTAAAGCAGAAGTTAAATCTCAGTGATTGACATTGAATATTCAGGTTAAAAATGAGTCTGTCAGCATATTTTATTTGATCTAATTTCATGCTCTATTTACAGTAAATTTCATATTCTATGTCACATACCTGGGAATTCAAAATGAATAATGATTATCTAAAACACTGGTTTTCATTTTCTTTTGAAAGAAATGTATAGCTTTGCTCATTTATTTATGAATAATACACAGACGTGTTATGCAGATGTATGTAGATGGCCTTTTTCCACTTCTGATTTCATAGTTCACATACAGAGCTTCAGAGGACCGTTTTTTATATGATATCAAATTCAACTGTAGAATTTCCGAGTTAGCAGGGACCTCAGAAATCATCTAACCTAATGTTCCCCCAACTTAATTTACTAGCAAACCACTGTCATGATTTTTGCCATACCTGCATTCCCTCTATATTAATAATAAAAATTGTAAAAATCAGTTTAAGTAAACTAAATGTGTATTTTAAAAACAAATATTGAATCATCACTGTAAGTGGAAAATAGAAATCACTCGCCATAGGTAGAAGGTAACAATAAAAATATAGAACTACAGTAAAAGCCCTCTTTCCAATGGGTCATCCAGTTGTTTAGTTATAAAAAGTTCATTGAAGGGGGAAATCATAACAAACATACACATTTCTTAAATTTAAATTTTAGTTAACTTACAGTGCAATATTGGTTTTTGGAGTAGAATTCAGCAATACATCACTTACATACAACATCGATGCTCATCACAGCAAGTGCCCTATCTCATACCTATCACCCATCTAGCCCCTCCCCCACCCACCTCCCTCCATCAACCCGCACTTTGTTCTCTGTCTTTAAGAGTCTCTTATGGTTTGTTTCCCCTCTCTCCTTTTTTCCCCTTCTCATATATTCACCTGTTTTTTTCTTAAATTCCACATATGAGTGAAATCATATGGTATTTGTCTTTCTCTGACTGACTTATTTCGCTTAGCATAATACCATCTAGTTCCATCCATGTCATTGCAAACGGCAATATTTCATTCTTTCTGATGGCTAATATTCCATTGTATGTATATATATGCCACAATTTCTTTATTCATTAATCAGTTGATGGATATTTGGACTTTCTCCATAGTTTGGCTATTGTTGATAATGCTGCTATAAACATCAGGGTGCATGTACCCTTTGAATCTGTATTTTTCCTTTGGGTAAATACCTAGTGGTGCAATTGCTGGATTGTAGGCTAGTTCTATTTTTAACGTTTTGAGGAACCCCCACACATTCTCCAGAGTGGCTGCACCAGTTTGCATTCCCACCAACAGTGCTAGAGGGTTCCTTTTTCTCTGCATTCTCGCCAACACCTGTTGTTTCTTGTTTTGTTCATTTTAGCCATTCTGACAGGTATGAGGTGGTATCTCATCATGGTTTTGATTTGTATTTCCCTGATGATGAGTGATGTTGAGCATCGTTTCATGAATGTTAGCCATCTAGATATCTTCTTTGGAAAAGTGTCTATTTATGTCTTCTGCCCATTTCTTAACTGGATTATTTGTTTCTTGGGTGCTGAGTTTGTTAAGTTCTTTATAGACTTTGGATACTAACCCTTTATCAGGAATGTTGTTTGCAAATATCTTCTCCCATTCCATAGGCTGCCTTTAGCTTTGTTGATTGTTTCCTTCACTGTGCAGAAGCTCTTTGATGAAGTCCCAATAGTTCATTTTTGCTTTTGTTTCCCTTGCCTCCAGAGATAGGTCTAGTAGGAATCTGCTACTGCTGAGGTCAAAGAGGT